CACAAACTGTGCCCACCCTACTTCAAATCCCAATCGCAAGTGATAGGTCCCCAGGTTACAACTTATATCTGATTTGGTTACAAAATTAAAGGCTCCCATGATACCCTCCTCAGATTCAATTAATTTGCTAGAAGGGTTCACAGAACTCAGAGAAACACTTAATGTTACTGTTTTATTAAAGGACGTGATAAAGGATACAGATCAACAGCCAGATGAAGAGATCCATAGGGCAAGGTCTGGGAGGGTCCTGAGCACAGGAGCTTTTGTTTTTGTGGAGTTGGGGTGCCTCACTCACCCAGTGTTAATGTGTTCGGCCACTGGAAGCTCTCTGAACCCTTTACTATTGAGATTTTGTGAACACTTGCTCACATAGGCATGATCAATCAACTCTTTCTAGTCCCTCTCCCTTCTCTGGAGGATGAGGTGCGGTACTGAAAAACCATGAGAGACTATGGACCTTTGAGAAACAAACTGAGGGTTCTAGAGGGGAGGGGGTGGGCAGATGGGTTAGCCTGGTGATGGGTATTAGGGCACATACTGAATGGAGCCCGGGGTGTTATATGCAAACAATGAATCATGGAACACTACATCAAAAACTAATGATGTAATGTATGGTGATTAACATTAAACAAAATAAAATTCCAAACTTCTAATCATGGCTTGGTATTTCTGGTGACCAGCAGCCAACCAAGAACCCACCCAGAATCACCTCAGTAGAAAAAAAGATGCTCTTAGTGTTATTAGGAATTTCTAAGAGTTTTAGGATCCCAGTGTCAAGAACTGAGGGCAAGGACCAATCTATATATTATTATTTATAGGGAACAGTTGGGAGGATGCCTTTGCTATATTGTTTGTGGTAACAGGAGTTGGAAGCGATCTGGCCATTTTCATTGTTGGGTTACAAGATAACTATACAGCAATTAGATAAACATGACACAACATGTATAGATCTTAAATACAGTTCTGAATAAAAAAATTGGGTCTCAGTTATTCCTTTTGCAGTTTCTGTTTTCCATTTTTATTTGTCTATTAGACATTACAAACATTTCTAAAGCAAAACTCCCAGTTCTGTATCCACTACCAAACACCCAACTACCACAACTGAGCTGCTGACAATAAAAACCCATTATCTTCTTCTGATCTTCCATCTTAGTTAATGTCATTACTTCCAATCCAGTTGCTAAGCAAAAAACCCTAGGAATCATCTTTGCTTCCTCTTTCTGTCAACCCCTACATTAATAACACATATCATGTCTCAATAATAGGTCCTGTCCTCTCTACCTCCACAGTGCATCCCGGTGCCTGGGATTCTGCACATTGAACCAGCAGCTCACATGATTCTAATGCAGGAGATTCATGGATCACACTTTGAGAAGCCCTAAGAAACACTTTGTCCTCTTAATTGAGTAAACTCTTCCTTTTTGAATTATTTTAGGGCTTGAGAGGGAAAAATTAGAAGATACTTATTTGGGCTTTTTAGAATAAAAGTCATTTTCTTGATTCCATTATTAATCAGTGAATCAACAGGTGTCAAATGATAATTTCCAGATTTATCTCCAATACAGTTGGTAGCATGAAAGTTTATATTTAGTAAAGAGGAGATAGCTAAGAACTGGGCTCTAGAGTTAGTATTTAATTCCCAGTTCCCTTACTTCAGTTATGTAAGCTTGTCGGTTTGCTTGCCTTTGAACTTCCAGGTTCCTCACCTATAAGAATTGCATTTTCTAGCCATAGAGTTATTAAGGGGATTGAATAAGATAGTACACGTAAAGCACTTAGCACGGTGCTTGACCTTTAATGCTGCTGCTAGTATGATGATAATGATCACTATTGTTACCACTCTAGAACTAGTTTTGAGGTTACAAGTATCACATATATCCAGCAGAGGGCAGTAGAATAGCATAAGATTTAAGTACTCAAGCATACTGTAGATGCCAGTTACTGAAAATCACTTCTCCCTCTCCTGATATTTTTTGTTGTAATAGAGGAAGGAAATGGATGATGTTGATGAACCTCCAATATGTGAGATTCTCATCCTTCCATTTACTGAAGAACAGTGATACACCCAGTTTATTTTGGTTGTTAACCCCTTATCAACCATGTGGTTTACAAATATTTTAGATTTTGTTTTTGTAATTATTTGCAGTTTCAATCTCCTAACACCTCTCTTGTCCATATTAAAATGAAGGAAATGGACTAAAATTGTTTTTGTCTTACCAAGGTATAATTGATCAAATGATGTATTTAAAGCGTACAAAGTGGGGGCACCTGGGTGGCTTAGTTGAGTGTTCAACTCTTGATTTCGGCTCAGGTCACCATCTCTGGATGGTGGGAGCAGGCTGCATCTGGCTCTGTGCTCATGGGAATCTGCTTGGGATTCTCTCTCTCCTCTCCCTCTGCCCCTCCCCTTGCTTATGTGCTTGCTCGCACTCTCTTATTAAATAAATAAATAAAATATTTTTTTTTTAAAGTATACAGTGATGATTTGATATATAAATAAATGGTAAATGGATTCTCACAACACATCCATCACCTCACATATTTCCCTTTGTGGGAGGTGATGAAAACATTTAAAATCTACTCTCTTACCTAAATTTCAATTATACAATAAAGTATTAACAACTATAGTCACCATACATTAGATATTGCTACATTATTCATCTTATAACTGAAAGTTAATACACCTGTTCACCAACCTCTATTTCCCTCAGCCTCTGGCAACCACCAATCTACTCTCATTCTATGAGTTTGATTTTTTTTCTAAAAGATTACACATATAAGTGATAATGTGTGTTATTTGTCTTCTATCTGGCTTATTTCACTTGGTTAAATGCCCTCCGGAGTCATCCATGTTGTTGCAAATGACAAGATTTCCTTCTTTTTGAAGGCTGAATAATATTCCGTGTGTGTGTGTGTGTGTGTGTGTGTGTGTCTGTCTGTCTTACATTTTCTTTATCCGTTCATCCCTCAAAGGACAGTTAGGTTGTTTCATTATCTTGGCTATCATAAATAATGCTGCAATGACCCTGAGGGTACAGATACCTTCTTGAGATAATGATTTTGTTTCCTTTAGAATATACCCAGGAATGAGATATGTGCATCATATGGTAGTTATGTTTTTAATTTCTTGAGGAACCTCCATGTTGTTTTCTATAGTACCTGTACCAGTTTATATTCCTACCAACAGTGCACAAGGTCCCTTATCTCCACATCCTCATCAACATTTGTTACCTCTTTTTGATAACTGTCGTAACAGATGTAAGATGATATTTTATTATGGTTTTGATTTGCATTTCCCTAATGATTAGTGATGTTGAGCATCTTTTCATGTACCTGCTAGCCACTTGGATGTCTTATTTGAAAAAAAAAAAATGTCTCTTTTTTGTTTGTTTTTTGGTTTTTGTTTTTTCTTCTTGAGGGGCCTGGAGATGGGCAGGTTGGGGAGGCACTAGGGAAGCGGAGGTCTGAGACGGAGGACCCGGGCACCCCGCAGGCCAGAGGGGTCTCTGGAAGCTGGAGCAGGGCAGGCTCAGGAGGGACAGAACGGTGGGGCAGACCCCAAAGGGCGTCGCAGGCCACGTTGCAAGCAGCACAGTGACATGTCCGTAGTGCACAGCACTTTATAAAGGTCACGGGGAAGGACGGCTCCTTTTGAACCCATCTTGTCTGCTGCCTAGATCGAACACAGCCACTCTTGCCTGTGTCGCTGGCCCAGGCTGGGGGAGTCGCGTTTCAAGTGGCAGGGGAGTGGGGGCCTTGGGTGGAGGGTGTCAGCAAGCTAGGACCATAACGCTCCAGCCCAGGTGCGTGGAGAGCGAGAGGATTCAGGACGGTGCTGCAGCCACCTGGATTCTGCAAAGCCCAGTGGAAAACCAAGAAAGCAACGGAGAGTTTTCGAGTAGCCATTACAGCAGGCCCAGTGGGACTGCTCTGCCCGAGGAAGGCCCGATCTTCCCCTTCCTTTTCTCTTTTTTTTAATTGGGATATGGGGCGGGGGGTGCTTTGCTATTGAAATATAGGGGTTCCTTATATAATTTGGATATTAACCCTTTATTGGATATGTGGTTTGTAAATATTTTCTCCTACTTCATAGGTTGCCTTTAACTTTTGTTGATGGTTTCCTTTGCTGTACAGAAGCTTTTTATTTTTTATTTTATTTTTTAGATTTTATTTATTTATTTGACAGAGACATAGCGAGAGAGGGAACACAAGCAGGGGGAGTGGGAAAGGGAGAAGCAGGCTTCCATGTGGGGCTTGATCCCAGGACCCCGGGATCATGACCTGAGCCAAAGGCAGACGCTGAACCGACTGAGCCACCCAGGCGCCCCAAAAAACTCTTAATACAGTAACGTGCAGACCAGGTTTACATGTAATAGTGCCAGAGTGAAAACAATCCAAATGTCCATGAAAAGGTAAATGGATAAACAAATTCTGAAACAATGGAATACTTGCTAGGAATAAATTGGTGACACATAATTACATGGATGAATCTCAGAATTTTCATGCTAAATGAAGGAAGCTGACAAAAAGTAAATACCATGATTCCATTTATATGAAACTACAAAATAAAAACTATAGTGACAAAGCACATTTGTTGTCACTTGGAGATGGTGGATCAGGCATGGGCAGAAGGGAAGGATTACAAAGGTCATGAACTTTTGGGGTTGATGGATATGTTCGTTATATTGACTGTTTTGTGGTTTCATGTTTGTATATACATAGGTGAATTTACCAAATTGTACACTTTAAATATGAATGCTTTATTTTATATCAATTATTCTTAAGTAAAGCAGTTTTTAAAATGTATTTGCCACTTGCACATGTTTTTTCTCACAAATAATTATATTAAAAGAAAACACAGGCTAGTCATCATAGAATGGGCCTTGTTACTCATCCACTCATTCTCAAAATTAGTGTCTGTGGGAAATACAAATATGAATCTTTTACACTAATAAAGCATATGATCTGATAAACAGTTAGGCTTTGGAAATCATAAACAATTATTTTTTTATATTGTTTTCACAAAGATCCTTACCAGAAGCCAGTCCCTCCCAATGACTACATGTCAGCTGCTCCATACAGCTCAGAACCTTGCTCCACACGTCGTCAAACATGTGAGCAAGGACATCCTCTTTCATGCAGTAAAATGGAGCAATGGGAGAGTACCCTAATTTCTGTTTCTTTGGAGCTGCTTGTAATTTCTTTCCTTGAAACCCCTCTTCCATATCAGTGTGGTCTAATGCTGGGTATTCCTCTATTATTCCTTCAGAGAAGATTACACAGTCTTTCTCTTCTCTTTCCATAGAATACAAGCTAGGGGATTTGGCAATGGAAGATGCTTTATGAGCATAAGAAGATGAAAAATGTAACTTCTTTCCCTTAATACCAAATAGAGTAGAATCTCTTTCTTAAGAAAGTGTTGCCTCATGTGAAGCTGAAACAACAGAAGGGGATCTAGGATACAGCCCATAACTTTCACCTGGAGTGATTATCTGCCTACCCAGAATTCTGAAGTGAGGAAAGCTACATGTCCATTGTTGGCCCTCTTCTTGTAGACTCTTAGTATGCACACTCAACTTCTGCTCATACAAGAGCTCATCAATGGCTGTGAACATTGCCTGGACTTCTTCAGTGGCATTTTGATCAAGTTCACCATAGGCCCAGGAGAAGTCCGATATGCCTTCTGTAGAGATCCCTGTGCCTGTATAGCTTGGAAAAGCAGATCTTGAATTCCCAGTGTCAGCTGATGTAAAAGGTGATTCTTGTGTGATGACAGACTCACTTTGGGAACTTGTGTCTTGTTCATGGCTGTCATTGGTAGAAGAAATTTCATCCAGCTGCTCTGGAAGAGGATGGTGATTAATAGCATGTTTTGTTATTCCTTTCAGCTCCAAGCTTTGTGGCACCGCCTTCCGAGTGTATCTGGAGATCATCCTCCTATTCCTCCTCTGTCGTGGAGGGGTGGACACGCCAGCATCGGGGCCTCCGGGCCCGGCCCTCTCCTGCCACCTTCCGGCCCCGTCACACCCCATCACCTATACTCCAGACCGCCACCACTCCCTGGGTCCAGAAGCTTTTAGTTTGATGTAATCCCACTTGTTTATTTTTGCTTTTGTTGCATTAGCTTTAGGTGTCAAATCCAAAAAATCATTGCCAGACCAATGTCAAGGACATTACCTACTATGTTTTCCTCTAGGAGCTTAATGGTTTTAGGTCTTATGTACAAGTCTTTAATATATTTTAGTTGACTTTTGTGTATGGTATAAGGTAGGGGGGGTCCCAATTTCATTCCTTTGTGTGTGTATACCCAGTTTCCCCAATATCATTTATTTATTTATTTATTTTTAAGATTTTATTTATTTATTTGAGAGAGAGAGGGAGGGAGAGAGAGAGAGTGCAAGAGAGCACAAGCAGGGCCAGGGACAGAGGGAAAAGCAAACTCCCCGCTGAGTGGGGAGCATGACATGGGGCTCTATCCCAGGACCCTGGGATCAGGACCTGAGCCAAAAGCAGACACTTAACCACTGAGCCACCCAGGCAACCCCCCCGCCCATATCATTTCTTGAAGCAAGTCTCCTTTCCACATTGTTATTCTTTTTTTTTTTTTAAAGATTTTACTTATTTATTTGACAGAGAGATAGAGATAAAGAGCACAAGCAGGCAGAACAGCAGAGGCAGAGGCAGAGGGAGAAGCAGGCTCCCCGCTGAGCAGAGAGCCCGACGTGGGGCTCGATCCCAGGACCCCGGGATCATGACCTGAGCTGAAGGCAGTCACTTAACTGACTGAGGAACCCAGCCGCCCTCCACATTGTTATTCTTGACACGTTTGTTGAAAATTAATTGACCATGTATGTATGGTTTTATTTCTGGGCTCTTGAATCTGTTCCATTGGTCTGTGTGTTTGATTTTATGCCAATACCATACTATTTTGATTACTATAGTTTTACAGCACAGTTTGAAAGCAGGCAATGTGATGTCTCCAGTTTTGTTCTTGCTCAAGATGCTTTGGCTATTCAAGGTGTTTTTGTACTTCCGTATGAATTTTAGGATTGTTTTTTCTATTTCTGTGAAAAATACCATTGGAATTTTGATAGGGATTGCATTGAAAATATGGATTGCTTTTGGTAGTCTGGACATTTTAACAGTATTCTTTCAATCCATAAACAGAATATCTTTCCATTTATTAGTGTCATCTTCAATTTCTTTCATCAGTATTTTATAGTTTTTGTGGGTACAGATCTTTTATCCCCTTGGTTAAATTTATGCCTAAATACTTTATTGGTTTTGATGCTATTATAAATGGGATTGTTTTATTAATTTCTGTTTTGGATAGTACACTGTTAGTGTATAGAAGCACAACTAGTTTTGTATATTAATTTTGTATCCAGAAACTTTACTAAATTTATTAGTCTAATAGTTTTCTGGCAGAGTCTAGGGTTTTCTATATATAATATTATATCTTCAGACAGAGGAAATTTTACTTCTTCCTTTACTATTTCCATGCCTTTTTTCTTTTTCTTGCCTAATTACTTTGGCCAGGACTTCCACTACTATGTTGAATAGAAGTGGCGTGAGTGGGGATTCTTGACTTGTTCCTTCTCTTAGAGGAAAAACTTTCAGCTTTTCACCATTGAGTATGATGTTAGCTGTGGGTTTGTCATAGATGGCCTTTATTATGTTGAGATGCAGTCCATCCACACCCAATTTGTTGAGAGTTTTTATCATAAAAGGATGTTGAATTCATCCAATACTTTTTTTTCATACATTGGGGTGTTCATATTATTTTTATCTTTCATTTTGTTAATGGGTTGTAACATATTTGTTGATTAGCATTTGTTGAACCATTCAGGAATAAATCTCACTTGATCATGGTGTGTGATTCCTTTAATGTACTATTAAATTTGGCTTGTTAATATTTTATTGAGGATTTTTGGATTTATGGTCATCAGAGATATTGACCTATAATTTTCTTCTGGTGTCCTTGTTTGGCTTTGATATCAGGATATTGTTGGTCTTGGAAAATGAGTTTGGAAGTGTTCCCTCTTTTTTTTTATTTTTTGGAAGAATGTGAGAAGGATTGGCATTAATTCTTCAAATGTTTAATAGAATTTACCAGTGAAGCCAGATAGTTCCTGAACTTTTCTTTATTGGGAGATATTTGGTTACTGATTCAATTTCCTTATTCATTGTTGGTCTGTTCACATTTTCTATTTTTTCATGATTCAGTCTTGGTAAATTGTATGTTTCCAGTAGTTTATTCATTTTTTCTAGTTTATCTAATTTGTTGACACATAATTGTTCATAGTAGTTTCCTATGATCCTTAGTATTTCTGTGTTATCAGTTGTAACATTTCCTTTCATTTGTGATTTTGAGTCTTCCCTCTTTTTTTCTTAGTGTAGCTAAAGACTTTTCTATTTTGTTTATCCTCTTTGTTTCATCTTTATAATTGTCTTTCTAGTCTCTATTTCATTTTTTTCCTTCTCTGACCTTCATTTTGCCTTCCTTCTGCCAACATAGAGCCTAGTTTATTCTTTTTCTAGTTCTTTGAGGTGTAAAGTTATTATCTATTTGTGATTTTCCTTCTTTTTTAATACAGCCATTTATCACTATAAACGTCCTTCTTATTACTGCTTTTCCTGCATCCCATTAGGTTTTGCTATGTTTTGTTTTCATTTTTGTCTGTCTTGAGATGTTTTTAAATTTTCTTCTGATTTCCTTTTTGATTCAATAGTTGTCCAAGAGTTGTTTAATTTTCATGTATTTGTGAATATTCCTGTTTTCTTGCTGTTACTGACCTAGTTTCATTCCATCATCTGATGCATACATGAGAGAAATCAGGGAAGGGCATTGTATTAGTCTGCTTGGGCTGCCATAACAAAACGTCAGACTGGATGGCTTAAGCAACAAAATTTAGTTTCTTGCAGTTCATGATCAAGATACTGACAAGTTCTGTTTCGTGAGGAGTCTTTTATTGGTTCACAGATAGCTGTCTTTTCGCTATATCTTCATATGGCCTTTCCTCTGTGGTGTGCAGGGAAAGTGAGAGAGAGAGATTGAGAAATGTCTTCCTCTTCTTTTAAGGGTGCCAGTCCTATCAGATTAAGGCCTCATTGTTATTACTTTTCTTACACTTTATTAAAAACCCCTGTATAGGTCCTATCTTCAAATACAGTCACATTGGGAGTTAGGGCTTTAACATACGAATTTGGAGAAGGAAGAGGAAACAGTTCAGTCCAAATAGGCATTTTTTAGAGATGTGAATCACAATTCCTTTAGCAAATGCAGGAAACAGGTAATTTCTTCACGGAATAAATGCTGGGGGACACTGAATAAAGAAAAAGTTAGGGTCAGCCTCGGGTGTCAAAGGCTTTTGAAGGATGTGAGGCATTCACGTTCGTTCATTTATTTACTTGGGAAAGAGTTGTTGGGCATCTACTGTATGCCTAGCACTATGTTTGGCATTAGCATATAAGATGAACAGGATATGATAGACGCCACTGACCATCTCAAGTTGATTGGGGCATGTGGAAGTGCGCACACTGTAGCCTGGAATCCTGAGCTGGTGAATCACAGATCCTGTTATGTAAACTGGGCCTGTGGTTCAGATTACGGTTTTTGTTTTAGATTTCCTGTAGGTTTTGATGTGGCATGATTAGAAACAACTACACATTAGCTCAGAATAGTTTTGCAGAAAATCTGGCTCCTTGAAATCCTTCTTCCTGACCAGCCTTCCAGCCTCAAAACACAGTAATACACTTCAAAACATAAGGGGCGGGGGGAAGACTCCCAGGAATAGAAAATAGTTCTTTCCCACTTAGGCATTAAAAGTGAATATGGGTAGAATGATAATTTAGGCCATTTCAGTGTCAACTAACATTTAAACACATACAATCTAGACTTTGTGGGGCAAATGTAATCATCTTACTTTACAAACAAGGGAATATAAGCCCAGAGAAGTTAAGAGACTTGCATATAGTCACAGTGCTAATAACAGAACTGGAAATAGCATCCTGTCTTGGTGTCAGTTCCTCTTAGCACTCCTCAGATATGTTGGTATTTATACTTACCACAATGTAAGTACAGAAATTGAAAGTAAGCTTTCAGAAAATTTCACAGCAGGCTGACATTGCCAAAACATCCAAGCTCTTGATCATTTGTTTTTTTCGTGACTGACTCATACTGATTTTACAGAAGTATTGGTTCCAACAAATTGGAAAGAAAAAACTTGTCTTTCATCACAGGTTGTGAAATGCTGCTGTGCAGTGTGCCATCTCTCAAGAAGTGTCTAGTGGTCCGGTGGAAAGGGTAGGTTGATATAATCTATACTGTGGGGCAGCCCAAGCCCTGGGAGACTCTGGCATATGCCAGAGAATTTGCACCAGGTCCCTGCCCTACTCTCCGTTGATTCCTCTTGCCCTTGCCAGATGTCAGCCTCTCCCAAGGGCCTGTCTTCAATTCCCTTCTTATCTTCCTCTGCACTCCCCTTGAATTCTCGTTTATTCCCCCCACCCCTGAGTTGCATTATGAACTTGTCTGACAAAACTGTTTCCTGCCCAGCCCCTCACTGTTTCCAGTTTCTCATTTCAATTGTCCTGCTCCTCCCAGTCAACATACTTCAAGTTTAGGAAGACAAAATTCTCTCTTCTCCAATCATAGTTCTTTCCAATCATGTAGATTCGGTTATCCTTACCTGCTTCAAATTTCTAAACTCCTTATCTAATCATTCATCCAAAATCTATTTTGAGTTTTCATTCAAAATATTTCTGGTACCTCTTTCTTCCTTTCCATCCCCACTGCCACCATGGCAGCTCAGTTCTTCAGTGACTGCGATGGCCTCCTCACTGGTCTCTCTGCTTCTGCATGCTCTTTCTTTGAATATCTTTCATGTACCCTAAAATGCTCTTTAGTTGGTAGAACTTTATCCCACTTGAA